GCCTTCCCAACCGAAGAGAAGATTTCTTCCAGAATTGGACCTCAGATGAGTATGGCCGTGAAACCTATACACTCACCCCTCATTTGATGCTTTTGTTATTTTCCTTGCTAAAATTGCTTTCTATACCTTTTGTAACTGAGGAACTTGTAAGAATCTGTGTGTGAATCCGTTTGTATGCTTGCGAACCACCATAGTAAAAGACAACAACTATTTGTAAAAGCCAGTGTGTGTTGTCTATCTTCCTGGGAAATAGCGAGTGTTTTAAAGCCGCCAGATCCGCCCTCTGTATACACGGGTTTTTGAACTCACGCACCGCCCATCCGCCGTAGGTAGAGTTGGTTTGGGCTCCCAGAACCGGTTCCGGTCCGGTTCGGGTAACAATGGGCTGATCTGTTTTCAATACTTTCACCAGTATCTTTTCAGTATGGCTCCGTAGCGTGGCAAAACAGGATGATCGTGGAAGAGGCATGTTTACCAGATGTTGCTGTCTGGTCATGACCTTTAAATCCGTCCGGCACTCGTCCCTGGCATGGATCTAAAGACCCGTCTGATCGGGACCTTAGAGACCTTCCAACTTCAGGAATTTAGGATTGTGACGCACCAGCCAAGATTCAAACAAACGATAACAGAAATGTCTGCAATAGCAACACACCGAAGTTTATTTCGAAGCAACAAGCCAGAAGAAATTAGAGAGAGACTCCCTCGCCCCACCCCCGCTGCCCCAGCTTAGCGTTAAGCCGGAGAGGCAGTTCCCAAAAGAAAACTGCCTTTTGCCATCCAAATCCCTCCACCCGACCTTTCCGAAAAGAATTGCAAGCGGCTTTCAAGAGCCCATCAGTACTTCCAGCCACAGTGCTTCCAGCCACAGTACTTCCAGCCACAGTACTTCCAGCCACAGTGATAGTACGGCTTTTTGGCAACCTTCTTGGGTTTCTTGCCATATGGTTTAAAGAAGCCTCTCCGGACACGGGTGCGCTGGAGGGAAGGACATAAGAACATAAGAACATAAGAGACGCCAATGTTGGATCAGGCCAAAGGCCCATCCAGTCCAACACTCTGTGTCACACAGGGGCCAGAAATACCAGTGCCATCAGGAGGTCCAGCAGTGGGGCCAGGACATTAGAAGCCCTCCCACTGTTGACCCCCCCCCAAGCACCAAGAAGACAGAGCATCACTTGCCCCAGAGCCCCTAGCTATACCTTGTGGCTAATAGCCACTGATGGACCTCTGCTCCATATGCTTATCTAATTCCCTTTTGAAGCCGTCCATGCTTGTAGCACCCACCACTTCCTGTGGCAGTGAATTCCATGTGTTAATCACTCTTTGGGTGAAGAAGTACTTCCTTTTATCCGTTCTAACCCGACCGCTCTGCAGTTTCATGGAGTGCCCACGAGTTCTTGTATTGTGAGAAAGGGAGAAAAGTACCTCTTTCTTTACCTGCTCTTTCCCATGCATAATCTTATAAACCTCGATCATGTCACCCCTTAGTCGTCTTTTCTCCAAGCTAAAGAGCCCTAAGCGCTTTAACCTTTCCTCATAGGGAAAGTGTTCCAACCCTTTTATCATTCGAGTTGCCCTTTTCTGCACTTTTTCCAAAGCTATAATATCCTTTTTAAGGTGTGGTGCCCAGAACTGCACACAGTATTCCAAATGAGGTCTCACCATTGATTTATATAGGGGCATTATTATATTGGCTGATCTGTTTTCAATACCCTTCCTAATAATCCCCAGCATAGCATTTGCCTTCTTTATTGCAGTCACACACTGTCTCGACATTTTCAGTGAGTTATCTACTACAACTCCAAGATCTCTCTCTTGCTCAGTCTCTGCCAGTTCAGACCCCATCAATGTGTATTTATATTTAGGATTTTTGGCTCCAATGTGCATCACCTTGCACTTGGCCACATTGAACCCCATTTGCCATGTTGACGCCCACTCGCCCATCCTTGACAGATCCCCTTGGAGTGCCTCACAATCCTCACTGGTTTTCACCACCCTGAACAACTTCGTATCATCCGCAAATTTAGCCACTTCACTGCTTACTCCCAGGATTTCCCTGGATCGTGGCTACCCAAAACGGAGGTAAACAGTGTGCCCTCAAGGCCCCCGCCAGCCTTACCCACCGGGTGAAGCTGCAACATTCCCAACGTTCCTCCTACAGCGGAACAAATGGGAGAACCTGAGATTTCTGTATCCTCTACAGGAGCATCTCTAACTACAGGCAGAGTGTATTTCTTGGCTGAAAGTTTTATTAGAAGATATGAGATGTTCAGGGATGTTCAGGGGTTGATCTCTTTGTCAGAACTGGGGTGCCAGGGCGGGAAGAAGCATATAGTTACAATCTCACAATCTCACATTCCATTCATACACGTCAGCATTACTACACAGACCATGAGAGATATGCGGTCCACGATTAGCTAATCAAAGACTTTTCTCCAAGGCCATCTTCCTGTGTGAAAGAAGTCTCTTGGGGCAGCATAGAAGATTTACTAAAGCTAGCTCCACTACTCCAACAGACACTCACTACCCCCCTAGGAATGCGGTGGCAGGCGAGGATAAGCGATAAGGGCATTATGGGAGAGAGGGAAGAAAGGTTACAACAACAGTCAGGGCAGGAATATAACAGGTTCAGCAATCATTAAAGTGGTGATACAACAGATGCAGTTGGTCAAACAGCCCGAGCCTGACAGGGGTGTTGTGGAACTGGGGGTATTTTCCACACAGGGATGGGCAACGTGGCAAGAGAACGTGGCAACGGGGTTTCAACATGGCGGGTTTCCCCCCTTTCCCCCCCTGCCCCAGTGCTCTTCAGTGGCTATCCGCCTGGCCCTGCCTCACCAGCTTTTTTTAAATCTGCAATTATAATGGCATTATAGCTTACAACATTATAACAGTCTGCCTATCAGTTCCTTTGGATTCCGAGCTTTCATTTTTGAAAAATAAGTCACTGCAGAGATAGAAGGAGGGGGAGGAGACTGGATTTATGCCCTGCCCTTCACTTGGAGTCTCAGAGCGGCTTACAAACTTCTTTCCCTTCCCCTCCCCACAACAGACACCCTGTCAGGTAGGCGGGGCTGAGAGAGCTCTAGCAGAAACTGCCCTTGAGAGAACAGCTCGGACAAAACCCAAGGTCATCCAGCAGCTGCAACTGAAGGAGTGGGGAATCAAACCCAGTTCTCCCAGATTAGAGTCCGCGCACTTCACCACTACACCAGACTGGGGAAAGGCATCTGTTTGCGACAAAATGGACTTGCCTTTTGACAAACAAAAGCTGAGAATTCAAAGGGATGAGTAAATGAATCGATGAATACTACAGGGCCAAGGATTTATTACTCTGGGTCCTAAAACTGGCAGAACTATGGATTTGGGGGCTGGAAACTGTGACGGCACTGAATTTTTAAACTGATTTTGTGCACTGAATGGACAATCTCGCAGAGGTGATTACCAAACAATTTCCCAGGGACATGCTACAAGGCCCTTTCCTTACTCCCCACATTCCCCTGTGGGATAAACTTACCCCCTGGCCTACAGTTTCACAATCGAGGTCAACACCAGGAGCCCCTTTATCAGGAGAGATGGTTCCGGAACATTCCTTCACCACCTGTGAGAGAACACAAAACGGTCACTCTTTTCGTTTGGTTATCAATGCGTTGCCGTCCCGTTTTGTAGGCCTCAGAGCTTACGCGGAAACATCAAAATACATATTCACCTCCCGGTGAAGGATCTAAAAGGGAAATGATGGGGCAGGCCTTCCTTATTTATTTATTTATTTATTTATTTCTTCAGATTTATACCCCGCCCTCCCCACAAGCGGGCTCAGGGCGGCTTCCAATAAAATACAAGTTACATTACATTAAAATACATCATATACAAAATACCATAAAACATTATAAATACAAAGTGCAGGCGGCAGATTAAAATTCATTTCGATGATAAGTTGCAGAATCACTTGCCATTGCCCTGGTGTCCACAAATGGCTTCTATCATTAGTCCATATCGTTGTTAAATCCACAGGCCGTGTTTGGTTGTAATAATCTGCAGTAGCCTGCAGTAACATGAGCCTATAACAGCGGCGGCCCCTACTTAAATGCCTGGCGGAAGAGCTCCGTCTTGCAGGCCCTGCGGAACTGTAAAAGATCCCGCAGGGCCCTGATCTCCTCCGGGAGCTCATTCCACCAGGTAGGGGCCGCCACTGAGAAGACTCCGGCCCTGGTGATGGCTAACTTAGCCTCCCTCGGGCCAGGGAGGGTCAACAGGTTTTGCGACCCCGACCGTAGTGCTCTCTGGGGTATATCCTTGGCCAACACTCTTTGGCCCCAGCCTTTGTACCAGAGAAGAGCGCCCTGAGAGGCCTGTGAAGGTTGTGGGTCAGGAGTCAGCTGGGTGGTTGGATGTGGAGTTGGCTCCCCTCACTCAGTTATTCCAGTAGCTCCACTGGCCAGTCCCAAGGTGGAAGACAGTGTTGGAGTGAGCGACTGAGCATGCCTGGACTTGGGGGGGCAGGCGCTACATCTCTCTAAGGGTGTCTAGGTTCTATCTCCTTGATTGGAATGCCTCTCTTTATCTTCATCTGCCTCTGACACCTCCCCTCTCTCCCTTTGTCCTCTCCCTCGCTGCACATGGCCTTCCATGGAGACACACGTCTCTGCAGGTCTCTCCTGTAGAAACAATGCCCTCACACTCTCACACATGTGATGACAAGCTGGCCATTTGTGGCAGGGAAAGTCCTCTTTAGATTAGGCCTCTGTCTCTCCTTTTGACTGCAAGCTGGATGTGAATTGGATCAACTTGAATAAATGTAAGGTGACATTTTTACAATACACTTCTTGGGAGATTTATTTACCGCACTCAGAATCACGCTCTGCAGCCAGAAGTGATATCATGGCAATGACTGGCCAAAACTCTGCTACGTTAACCAAATATTCCAATAGGGAGAGCCTGTTATGGCTGCCGAGTGCCCACTTTGGACGGGTATTCTCCCGCCAGTGGGACCTTTCACCCTCCACTCGCTCACTCTGGCTTCTCAGGCTGGTGGGAGAAATGGTGGAGGGTGGAAATTATGTCAGACTGTGTGCCAGCGCCATGTCCAGGCACAAACACGCATGTGACATCAGATGTCATCTAATGATGTGCTGATGTCATGTCTGAGTTTTCGCCTGGACCTAATGTCTGCATGTAGCCTGATGTCATTTCCTCCCTTTACCCTATCCCCAAATCTCCTGGGTAGGGATGTGCATTCGATTCGTCTGCTGCGGGTCGATTCAGATTCTCTGATCTGAATCGGCTTGTTGCCGAATTGCTGTCGAATTTCGGCGGCAATTCAGCCCCATTATATCCTATGGGCCATTGAAGTCAATGGCAAAAACATAGGGTATATTCTGGGGGCTGGAGGGGAGGGGGTTAGAGGGAGAGGCTCCAAACTCACAGGGTAGCTGCTGGAGTCTCTCCCCAAGGTAACTTTTCCCCCCACCATAGAGAACAATGGAGGGGATGGGGGCAACCTGTTTGGGGGCCCGTAGAATTGGACCCCCTTGTCCAATGTTCTTGAAACTTGGTATGCTAGGCCACTGCCTGGCATCCCTAACTGCCACCCAGGGCAGCAGGAGGAGATATAATCCACCAAAATATCTATGGTTTTCTCCCAGGACAACCCCCCAAATCTCTATGATTTTACCGTAGAGATCTGGGTGGTTACTAGAGCATCATGGCAAACCATGACATCACTTCTGGCTCTGCAGCCAGAAGTGATATCATGGCATGGAGCTGCATCACATGATGCCGGTCCCACCCCCAGCAGCTCTTGGCTGGCAAACCGTCGAATCAGGGAGTTGGGAAAGACACGTGCACTGCAGGTTATCATCCAGCCCCTTCCTGCAAAACAGAACTGAAATGCTTCCCCCCCTCCCACCATGTCATCTTATCGCGCAGGGATCCGTCAAAGAAGCTACCTCCGACATCTGGGTCCCAGCCTCAACTGTCCTTCCTTGCGGATCCCCGAAATCTTCAGGCATCGCCTCAAGGCAGGGCAACTTCTGGCCCCAGAAGCGTGTGGCCTTGAACAGGCTGCCAAGAGGGCTACTAGGGGTATAAGATATGGGGCCCCCCAGGTCTCCATGAGTGTTGGACTGGATGGGCCTTTGGCCTGATCCAACACTGGCTTCTCCTATGTTCTTATAAGAGGGAATTAGATAAGCATCTGGAGCAGAGGTCCATCAGTGGCTATTAGCCACAAGGTATAGATAGGGGCTCTGGGGCAAGTGATGCTCTGTCTTCTTGGTGCTTGGGGGGGTCAACAGTGGGAGAGCTTCTAATGTCCTGGTCCCACTGGTGGACCTCCTGTTGGCACCTGGTATTTCTGGCCACTGTGTGATACAGAGTGTTGGACTGGCTGGGCCTTTGGCCTGATCCAACATTGGCGTCTCTTATGTTCGTATGTAAACTCATCACATCTTGGAAGCTAAGCAGGGTCGGCCCTGGTTAGTATTTGGATGGGAGACCTCCAAGGAAGCCCAGGGTTGCGACACAGAGGCAAGCAAACCACCTCTGAAGGTTTCTTGCCTTGAAAACCCGATGGGGTTGTCATGTCACCTGTGACTGGACAGCGTGTTCCACCATCAGCGGCTCTCAGCAGCTCTGGCCCCAAGGAAGAGAAAGAGAAGGACAGCTCACCCCATCCTTCTTGAAGTCACACTCGTCCAGATTCAGCGGCTTGGAGGGCGGGCACGTGGTCTCCTGCATGGTGAATTCCAGTGGCTGAAGGGCTTTCATCAAGGGGTCCTAGCGAGAGAGGGGTGCCAAGAGAGATCGCATGAATAAAGGTAAAGGTAAAGGTTCCCTTGCTCAAAAACCAGTCGAATCCGACTCTAGGGTTGTGGTGCTCATCTCCGTTTCCAAGCCAAAGAGCCAGCGCTGTCCAAAGACATTTCCATGGTCATGTGGCCGGCATGACTAAACGCCAAGGCGCACGGAACGCTGTTACCTTCCCACTGAAGTGGTACCTATTTATCTACTTGCCATTTCTTGCTTTCGAACTGCTAGGTTGGCAGGAGCTGGAACTAGAGACCGGAGCTCACTCCGTCATGCGGCACACTCGGGTCTTGAACTGCTCAACTACCGACCTTCCACAGCCTGCAGTTCAGCGTCTTAACCACTTGAGCCACCGCAGCTCCCATCGCATGAATGCCCACCAGCTTATGGCCCTCACAAGCATTCTTTGCACGGGCGAATCGCCAGCAAATGGTCAGAACAGGATCTCAGCCACAGTTTAGTACAGTGGCCTCCTTTCAGAATCAGATTTTTGCCGATTGCCGGTTCAAGTCTGGGAAGTAATCGGGCAAGCAGCAAGCGCTAGCTGGTAGACTCGTGGCTTTTTCAGTAGGAGCCAATCTGAAGCAATGAGAAACCGACTTTTAATTCATAAGGCTGGGGATTAAAGACATTTTTAGGCCAGCTGGTTGTGTTGCGCAGTCACACCAGGTGTTGACAAAGACCCTCTTTCTAGCAAGCAGCGTGGCTTTGTTGAGCTGAGAGCCAGTTTGACATAGTGGTTAAGTGCGCGGACTCTAATCTGGGAGAACCGGGTTTGATTCCCCCACTCCTCCACTTGCACCTGGCTGGATGACCTTGGGCAAGCCGTAGTTCTGATACGAGCTGTTCTTGAAAAAGAACAGTTTCTGTCAGAGCTCTCTCAGCCCTACCTACCTCACAGGGTGTCTGTTGTGGGGATGGGATGGGAAAGGAGTTTGTAAGCCGCTCTGAGACACCTTCGGGTAGTGAAGGGCGGGGCATAAATCCAGTCAGTTTGGTGCAGTGGTTTAGTGCACAGACTCTAATCTGGGAGAACCGGGTTTGATTCCCCACTCCTCCACTTGCACCTGCTGGATGACCTTGGGCAAGCCGTAGTTCTGGCACAGCTGTTCTTGAAAAAGAGCAGTTTCTGTCAGAGCTCTCTCAGCTCCAACTACCTCACAGGGTGTCTGTTGTGGGGAGGGGAAGGGAAAGGAGTTTGTAAATCGGTCTGAGACACCTTTGGGTAGTGAAGGGCGGGGTATAAATCCAATCTCCTCCTCCTCCTCCTCCTCCTCCTCCTCCTCCTCTTCTTCTTCTTCTTCTTCTTCTTCTTCTTCTTCTTCTTCTTCTTCTTCTTCTTCTTCTTCTTCTTCTTCTTCTACATTCTCTCGCACTGCCTTCAGCATCTCAACAAACGCTGTGGTTCTGGAAAGGCGATTAAATGGATTACCTTTCTAGCAGTTTGCGATCATTTGAAAAGCAGGTGACGAACCTTATCAGAAATATTTTGATTACGTTGTCAAAGGCTTTCATGGCCAGAGTTCATTAGCTGTTGTAGATCTCCCGGGCTGTGTGGTCTTGGCCTTGTATGACCTGACGTTCCGCCAGCAGCTGTGACTGGCATCCTCAGAGGTATAACACAGAAAGGTGGAGTCCTCTCTGTGTCAAGGTGAGAAGAAAAATGGTAGGCAGGTAATTTATCTCTACTCAGGAAGGTGGGGTAGGGCTGAGTCATCACCATTAGCATGCTCACAGACTCAGCCCTACCCCTGAGTAGATATAAATGACCTGCCTACCATTTTTCTTCTTCTCACCTTGAGACAGGGAGTGCTCCATCCCTCTGTGTTATACCTCTGAGGATGCCAGTCACAGCCACTGGCGAAACGTCAGGTCCTACAGTGCCAAGACCACGGCCAGACAACCCAGAAAATCTACAACAACTAATATTTTGATTAGTTAATAGACCTGCCGCCTTGACCTGGATTGGGCCAGGCTAGCCCAAATCTCATCAGATTTCAAAAGCTAAGCACAGTCAGCCCAGGTCAGTACTCAGATGGGAGACCACCAAGGAAGTCTGGCGTCGCTACACAGAGGTGGGCAATGGAAACCCACCTCTGTTCATCTCTGGCCTTGAACACCCTACAGCAGGGGTGTCAAACATGTGGCCCAGGGGCCAGATCAGGCCCCCGGAGGGCTTCTATCAGGCCCGCAGTGGAACTGGCTGTCTTCTGCTGCTGCTTCCAGTTCTGTGGCTGCTGCATCATCATAGGTTTTCAGCTTACAGGATTGCAACAGCACAGACATTTTGATGCAATCATTCAGAGCAAGAGGTGTCCGTTATCAGACACTGTTCAATAAACAAAACATTGCAAGAGTGCTGATGTTTTAAGCATGTTTTTAAGCTCATACCCTGCCACAAATTTTGTTAGTCTTTAAGCTGCTACTGGACTCTTCCTCTTTTCTACTGGGTATATTGGGGCTTCTGTCTTGCGGTGGAGTGACACATCACAGTTACAAGCCAGGTACAAGTCCCTGCTTTAGAATCATGGGGGGTGGGCTTTTGTGACCGAATGTTCCTTTAACACATTCCTTGCATTCAGAGACAAGGCTAGGCTCTAGAGCTGGGGTGTCAAACATGCGGCCCGGGGGCTGGATCAGGCCCCTGGAGGGCTTCTATCAGGCCCGCAGTGGAACTGGCTGATTTCTGCTGCTTCTTCCACTTCTGCTGCATCATCGTCAGTTTGCAGCTTACAGATACACATCTGAACAGCATACTCAAGATTGCAACAGCACAGACATTTTGATGCAATCATTCAGAGGAAGAGGTGTCCGTTATCAGACACTGTTGAATAAACAAAATATTGCAAGGGTGCTAATGTTTTAAGCATGTTTTTATTTAAAGTTTAAAAAAAACCCACTTTGTGTCCTTTATAAAGTTTATATCTCCACTACCTGGCATTGCATTTTATGACACACATGGCCCGGCCCGACAAGGTCTCATTTATGTCAGATCCGGCCCTCATAACAAATGAGTTCGACACCCCTGCCCTACAGTATCTGAGGAAGGGGGCTTTGACACTGGAAAACTTATATCCTCCAAATTTTGTTGGCCTCTAAAGCTGTACTAGGAGCTGTGGTGGCTCAAGTGGTTAAGACGCTGAACTGCAGGCTGTGGAAGGTCGGTAGTTGAGCAGTTCGAGACCCGAGTGTGCCGCATGATGGAGTGAGCTCCCGTCTCTGGTTCCAGCTCCTGCCAACCTAGCAGTTCGAAAGCAAGACATTGCAAGTAGATAAATAGGTACCACTTCGGTGGGAAGGGAACAGTGTTCCGTGCGCCTTGGTGTTTAGCCAGCCACATGACCATGGAAACGTCTTCGGACAGTGCTGGCTCTTCGGCTTTGAAACGGAGATGAGCACCGCAACCCTAGAGTCAGATTCGACTGGCTTTCGAGCAAGGGAACCTTTACCTTTTTAAAGCTCTACTGGGCTTGAATCTTAGCTCCCCGGACTCGCTTGATTCTCCGCTTGGCCTCATTTCTGCAGGGCTTGAAAGCCCCCATTCCACAGAAGGGAACTGAGGCCCAGAGAAGGTGACGTGTTCCGAGCCACCCAGCACGGGCTGCCCTAAAACACGGACCCCAGTTCAAGTCTCACATGAGCCACGGATGACACAACATGAGCTACTGCTGTTGGTGCCACTCACTCACCCACTCCGGCTGGGGCTTGGCTTCCAGGAGTCGGAAGGCCCACGCCACCCCTGGCTCTTGGTTGTAGAGGTCGATAGCCAAGGAAACGGCTTCCTCGTAGCCGAGCTCCTCTGGTACAGGAAACAGAGCTGTGGCTGCCATGGCAAGGCCAAGCATCAGCAGGATCCGGCCCTCCATTGTTCCTGCTTCTCCGGGTGTCTGCTTTCCCCTTCCAAGCCAGTCCCTTTATACTCTGCTTTACCTTGATTTCCTGGACCAGGTGTGTCCATGAGTCATGCGATTCTCCTGAAGTGGACTTTTCGAAAGGCGTTACAAGGAAAAATGATTTATTGGCAACAGAGGAGAACAAGCTGAACGTCAGAAGGGGGAGAGGAGGTGTTCCCCCCAGGGCTGCTGTTTCTCTGGCCAAAAGGAAATCACGATAATTTAAGGTGGGGGGATGTATGTTTTGGCAATTAGGTGTCAAGCCACCCATGCCTTCATATTCAGATATTCTAAACTGATTACATTGTTCTGGTTGCTTCATCGCAGACTGCCCTTTGCATTCCCAAGTTTAAGAGGGAACAGAGAAACAGAAGCAGCAATCTAATTCAAGAGGGAATTAGATAAGCGTATGGAGCAGAGGTCCATCAGTGGCTCTTAGCCACAAGGTATAGATAGGGACTCTCGGTCTGCGGCAAGGGATGCTCTGTCTTCTTGGTGCTTGAGGGGGGGGCAACTACTGTGTGACAACAGAGTGTTGGACTGGTTGGGCCATTGGCCCGATTCAACATTGGCTTCTCTTATGTTCTTATGGATAAACATATGGAGCAGAGGTCAATCAGTGGCTCTTAGCCACAAGGTATAGAGAGGAACTCTCGGTCTGGGGCAAGGGATGCACTGTATTCTTGGTGCCTGGGGTGGGGGGCAACAGTGGGAGGGCTTCTAGTGTCCAGGCCCCACTGCTGGACCTGCTGATGGCCCCTGGTGTTTTTGGCCACTGGGTGACAACAGAGTGTTGGACTAGATGGGCCATTGGCCCGATTCAACATTGGCTTCTCTTATGTTCTTATGGATAAACATATGGAGCAGAGGTCAATCAGTGGCTCTTAGCCACAAGGTATAGAGAGGAACTCTCGGTC